GGCTATGGTGGGCTCATGTAATGGAAACGCCTGAGGCCAGTAAGACGGATGTGTTTAGTAAGGGTACTTCTATAGGATTTAGAGGATAGATACTGTGTTTGCAGTACCAGGATGTTGAACCCAGGATGTTGAGGCTGCTGTGAACCATGATCACACCACTGCATTCCAGCCTGGGTGACAGAGTGAGACCCCAACTCAAATAAATAAACAAGCAAAAAAATAATTTATTTTAGTGTCCCTGATATGTGTTTAGGGATATCTCATTATAGCTTTAATTTGTATTTTCCTAATGATTAAAGATTTTAAGTGTCTTATCATATGCTTATTTGTGCTAACCTGAAAAAAAAAGACACTAGAGAAGATAATTCTAAATATGTTGGTTCATTCAGGAATAGAAATAAGGATTATACTTTGGAATGCATAAAATGAAAAAACACCAGTCCATTTGCTAATAAAGAGTGAGGGGAGTTTTATTTAGGCAAAAGTGATTTACATAAGCTGCTTAAAAACATAGTTTATTGGTTCCTGAAGTTCAAGACCACAGTTGTGGTCAGTTCATTGATGGAGATGCCATCAATGGACAAGTATTCTTGCTGGAACATCTTATCTACATTACTACAGTCCTAAAGAGTGTCTAGTGATAAACTTTACCAAAATGTGTGAAGGACAAGAAAATGTTTCTTGTGGAGATTTTAGAAAGTCCTTGGAAACAGTTCTTATCTCAGACATGTAGGCATGAGCCTCTTCTTCCAATCTTCCTAGCCCTATTTTGTCTGGATCTGAGAAAAGTGATTTGATCCTAGTATCTACAACTTTCACATTTACCATCTGTGTATCTTCTTTGATGAAATGCTTTGTCATATATCTGCACACTTGTCATCGATTTTTTTTGTTTCCATGTTGTTCAGTTTCTAAAATTACTTATGTGCTCTGGTTCCATGTTTGAATGAGAAATAGGATTTGGAAATATTTCTTCAAGTTTGTGTGTTCTTTTCATTTTCTTAACAGTTTTTTTTTTTTCACAAATCAAAGGCAATTTTATAAAGTACAATTTATTTCTTTCCTTTTATGGATCATGGTTTCCTTGTTGTATGTAAAAAATAATTGTCAAATCTAGTCACACAGATTTTCTTCTACAAGCTTTTTTTTTTTTTGAGTTGCAGCCTCACTCTGTCACCCAGACTGGACTGCAGTGGCACACTCCCGGCCACCACAGCCTTGACTTGCTGGGCTCCAACGATCCTTCCACTAAGCCTTCCAAGTAGCTGGAACTACAGGCGCGCGCTACCACGCCTGGCTAATTTTTTCGATTTATTGTAGAGATGAGGTCTCGCCAAGTTGCCCAGGCATGTCTCGAACCCACGGGCTCAGGCAATTCACTCACCTTGGCCTCCCAAAGCACGGGATTACAGGCTGAGCCACCAAGCCCAGTTACAAGTTTTATTTAATTTGTTTGACGTGGGCTAGTTTCTGTATATAACATGAGGTATGGTACAAGTTCTTTTTTAAAAATTTTATACATGGACATCTAATTTTTTGTGTGAGTAATTTTCTGGTATCCCTGTTCTGTTCTACTGATCTATGCATCTGTTTGCCAATACCATGGTGTCTTCTGAGATCAGACGAGATCAGGCACATTCAGGGTGGTATTGCCCCATGTTGTCTTGAATACTATAACTCAGGATTTTTTGTATATTAATATGTCTTTACTGTCCATATGCATCTTTGAATCAGCTTGCCAATATCTACAAGAAAATTCTGTTGGACTTTTGAGGAGACTTGCATAGACTCCATAAATCAAATTGGGGAGAAATGGCATCTTAACAATATCGAGTTTTCCACAGAGTGGCAACTTCTGAAAAAACTAGAAATTGACCTTCCATATGACCCAGCAATCTCCCTATTTGGAATATACCTAGAGGAACTCAAATCATTCTACAAAAATGATGCCTGCACACGCATGCTTGTTGTAGCTCTATTCACAGTAGCAAAAACATGGAAGCAACCATGCTGCCCATCAAAGCTGGACTGGATACAAAAAATGTGGTACACATACATTATGGGATATTATGCAGCCATAAAGAAGGACAAACATATGGACTTCGCAGCAACTTGGATGGACTTAGAATCAACCATACTCAGTGATCTATCACAGAAACAAAGAACAGAGTACCATATGTTCTCACTCATAAGCAGACCTTGAACAATTTTCATAATACTATAAGAAAGGGATTGGCAGTAGTGGGAGACCATCAGGGGAGGGCAATGGAATTGGCAGTTGAGGGAAACTGCCAGGGGAGGGAGGGGCACATCTAATCAACAAGGTTACCTGCATAATGTACATTTATTTGTATATCTAACCCTGAATTGTACCCAATACCTTTAAAATTAAAAAAAGGTAGAAAAAAATGTTTTTAAGGTAAAAAAATAAGATAAAATAAACAAAATTGAGTCTTCCAAACCAGAATCCTGCTATATTTCTCCATTTAAGACATATGAGCAGCCACCAGATACATGAAAAAATGCTCAGCCTCACTAATCATCAAAGAAATGCAAATTAAAACTACACTGAGATATGACCTAACTCCAGCCAAGATGGCCATCATCAATAACTTAAAAAACAACAGATGCTGGAGAGGATGCAGGGAAAAGGGACCACTTCTATACTGTTGGTGGGAGTGTAAACTAGTACAGCCTCTGTGAAAAACAGTGTGGCAATTACTAAAAGATCTAAAAATCAACGTTCCGTGTGACCCGGCAATCTCCCTTCTGAGAATATATCCAGAAGCACTCAAATCATTCTATAAAAAATATGCCAGCACATACATGCTTATTGCAGCATTATTTACAATAGCAAAAACATGGAACCAACCATGCTGCCCATTGAAAATGGCCTGGATTTTAAAAAATGTGGTACATATACATGATGGACTATTATGCAGCCATAAAGAAGAATAAACATATGGATTTTGCAGCAACTCGGATGGATTGGGAGTCTGTAATACTCAGTGATCTATCACAGAAAAAAAGAACTGAGGACCACATGTCCTCACTTACAAGCAGACCCTGAACATTTATCATAATACTGTAAGAAAGGGTTTGGCAGTAGTAGAACACTGCTGTGGGGGCACATAACATCAATAAGAGCACCTGATCTCAAACCAAGTGAAGTAGTGACCAAAGGGAGGCCCAAACTTTACCTGTGTGATGACCACTTATCTACCTAATCCTGAATTGTACCCTACATCTTTAAAATAAAAAAAATATATATTTTTAACTTTTTTTTCCCAATGATTTGTATTTTACAGCAGACAGATGCGGGGGGCCAGCCCCTGCAGATACTGGTGGTCCCTGGTAGGAAAGACAGCGTCGGCAATTAAACTGGAGGGATAGATATTAGAAAGAAGAAAGAGGATGGACAACTGATCAAAGATTGAACAGAAGCCATTTAATGGAACAAACCATAAGCCTTTTATCCTAAAGTTTCACGGGCAAAATCACAAGACTTTCACATGAACACAAAGCCAGGTAGGTGAGGGGCGCCCCCCCTCTACCCTCCAGATGTTTCCTCGGGCATGAGGAAGAACAATCTCAAAATTATCTTACTATTCCTAATGCTTGGTTAATGTTCCTCAAAAATAATGCAACAATCTCCACTAGCATCATGATGTTCTAATAATCAATAACTTCTAAAGCTTATGCATACACAACACCTAAAGCAACTAACTTAAATCCTATTACCTTTTCTATTCTATGCTAATTCTACCTACACTATGGAAACTCTTAATTATAGCTCAAACCAGTTCCTAAAGAATGTGGCCCAGCTGGGATCGGTGGCTCAGCCTGTAATCCTGCACCTTTGGGAGGCTGAGGTGAGTGGATTGCCTGAGCCAGCAGGTATGAGACCCGCCCAGGCAGCGAGACCTCATCTCTACAATAAATCAAAAAATCAGCCAGGCGTGGTAGCACATGCCTGTAATTCCAGCTACTTGGAAGGTTGAGGCAGAAGGATCACCGGAGCCCAGCAGGTCGAGGCTGCGGTGGCCGGGAGCGGCCACTGCACTCCAGTCTGGGTGACAGAGTGAGAGTCCAACTCAAAAAAAAAAAAGAATGTGGCCCAGTCCAAAGATCACACTGGGTCGTTTCTAGGAACAATTGCTTATAATCTCTTAGCAAAATGGCTACTCTAAAATCTTATATATCTATCTTAACTTCTATAAGAGTTTCTAATTAAATCTCAAAGTGTCTTGCTCAAACTATCATAATTCCCTGACATTGGCATAATCTATTCTACAATACTTTCTATGAATGAAATAAGTTCAACTTCTATAATGAATAGAGAAAAACCCTATACTAATTGTTAGCTAAAACCAGTTCAAAAGAATGTGGCCCAGTCCAAAGTACACTCTGGGCTCTTAAGAATGTGGCCCAGTCCAAAGTTCGTACTGGGCCATTTCTTGTGACTACAGATAATCATCTATACTACCTAAAGCTGAAAACAGCTCTCAGTATATTCATATATATATGTATATACTAATTCTACAAATATACTTTTAAATCTTATAAAGAAGCTTGTACCATATTGAAGGCTCCCAAACGTGACCTGAGTTTGAATTATATCTAATACTTAAGCCGAAACCGCAGTTCATGGGAAACAGGAACAATGAGTTTCTAGAGTTAGCCATACCTGTCACAGTCACAGAGCCTTCAGCTTAGGTCAGCAGAGATCCTTTTGGCTGAGTGTGCCAAATAGAAAAAGGTAGGAGGAAATGGGGTCAACAGCTCCCGAACACATCCTAGTGGTCTCGGGGTCCAAGGCCCTCCCTGATCCCTAACGCTCAGTGGGCCTCCGTGGCCAGCTCCCAACAGACAGATCCTGTGCATATTTGGTTAGACTTAAACTTAAATATCTTGGAGTGTCATCAGTAAGAATGATGGAGTAAGGACTTTCAAAAATCAGCTCCTCCATAAATGTAGTGAGAACAGGGCAGGAATTAAAATGACCTTTTGTACGAACTCTGGAACATAACCAAAACTTGCAACAATTTGTTGATAATTTATTCAAAAATATCCCAGTAAGAACAGTGAGATTTGTAGTGTTTTAACTTACCCTTTTCCTGTCTTCCTCTTCCCATCTCTGTAGTAGCCTTGAAAACCAGTAGCCCAGGAATCACCTTGAGAACTAGAAGCCTAGAATACCCTTTGGGGAAAAAAATGGGCTTGTTGTTCCCCAAAACCAATTCTCATAGAATTGTCATTACTTTACTTGACTGGCAATTCCCTGAAACTCCTACTTTGTCTTTATATGACCTTACTTAGAGCTCCCTCAGTGCAAAAAAGCCTTTCCTCATGATTATCAAATGGCCTGCTTTAACTTCACAGCTGCCTCAGGCTATGATAACAGATGGAACAAACAATAAGCTCATCAAATACCTTAACAGAAAAATCTGGGAAATGAGATATCCGTAGAGTACAGTAAAATTTTTATCCAGTCATTAGCTGACCACTAAGCTAACCAGAGACTTCAGTAGCATACATGAAAAAGAAGGAAGGTGTTACAGAATTAATTCAGAAAAGTCACTAACAGAGATCAAGAACAAAAACCAGTAACAACAATAAATCCTGGAAAGAAGGGGTTGTATTTCCAGAGCTGTCACACTATATTGTTTCTAATATCCAGTTTTCATTTACAAATTATGAGATATACCAATAAGCAAGACAGAATGACCATACAGCAGGGAAAAAAGCAATCAACAGAAACCGTCCTCGAGGAAGCCCAGAGGTTAAACTTACTAGAGAGAGATTTCAAATTAGCTAGTTTAAATGCACTCAAATGAAACTATGCTTAAAGAACTAAAGTAAGATATGATAACAATATCTCCCTAAATAGATTATCCAATAGGCAATAGACATGATACAAATAATAAAATATAGTTACACAACATTGTGAATGTTCTTCATATCACTGAATTGTATACTTTAAAATGGGTAGCTTTATGTTATAAATATTTTATCTAAATAAAAAAGAATCAAATAGAAATTTGAGAATTGAAAAGTACAACATTTGAAATTTCAAAAATCACGTCAGATTTGAGCTGGCAGAAGGATCACTGAACTTAAATATAGGTCAATTGATAATATACAGTATGAAGAAGACAAAAAAATTAAAAAGAAGAAATATGAACTGTCGGTGACCAGCACTGACCAAGGGTGGGTTAGGACCCACACCAGAGAATCTGGACAGCGAGAAGAAATTACTCGGAGGCAGTTCTTCTGGGAACAGTCTGATCAGGACTGGAGCTGATTTTATTCAAAC